CTGCTTATCCAGCCAACTCCATCCTGTCTAGGGGCAATGGGAGCCAACGTCCTGCTCCATCCACCCAAGCTAGTGCAGGACCCCTATTCCTCTGCTGTTAAGTGGTCACATACACAGGCAAGGCCATGCCCTAGGGCTTTCTACCCCAAAGCCATTGGCTGAAAGGAATGAATTCTGACAACAGGTGTCTCTTCACAGCAATAAAAACCCTAACTAAACTGGGTGATGGTGGCACACACCTGTAATCCCAGCATTTGGGAGGTAGAGGCAGGCAGATCTCTGTGAGTTCAAGGCCAGCCTGGTCTACAAAGTGAATTCCAGAACAGCTACACAAAGAAACCCTGTCTTGAAAAACCAACCAACCAATCAAACAAACAAAAAAACCACTCTAAGACAGCTATAGTATGAGATAAGACCTTGCCTCAACTACCTTCCATTTCCCTCAAAAAGAAAAAAGACTAACAGTAACTTACCCTAAGGATCATTCTGGTTATTTCACTCAACTGTAGAACTCCAAAGTGGGGAAGCACAGAGGGCCAGCTGGACTGGATATGTGACTCACTGGAGGGTAGAGCCAATTGGACAATGCTATATGCTAAAGACTATGGTACCACAAATGTATTTCTGGGCATAATGGGAATACTGAGGCAGGTTCACTCTTTGAAGCTATGGAGAGAACTGCTGAAGGCTATAGCAAAGTGAGCCAAATGAATTAAGCAATTGAAGAGCAGAGCCCCCATAAACTGACAAAAAGAAGGCCTGAGTTCCTGGGTGGGAAAAAGCAAGGGTTGATAACTTCCAGGTGGGTGGTCATGGCTATTACTGGCTACCTCCAATGGGTTCAGCCTGTGTCTTAGTTAGGATTTATATTGCTGTGAAGAGACAACATGACTACAGTAACTTTTATAAAGGAAAACATTTAATTGGGGCTGGCTTACACAGCCCAAAGGTTTTCATAGCGGAAAGCATGGTGGCATGCAGGTAGACATGGTGCTGGAGAAGGAACTGAGAGTTCTACATCTGGATCTGAAGGCAGCAGGAAGAGACCATAAGCCACTAAACATGGCTGGAGTTTCTTAGACCTCAAAGCCAGTGACATGTCTCCCCCCCAAAAGCCACACCCACTCCAATATGAATGTACACCCACAAATTTATAATAACAAAAGGCCTCTGATGATGTGGAAGAGGAAAGACCCTGGGGTCAGTGATAGGATCTATCACATGCTCTTGCACTGGCAGAGATGGGACTGAAAATAATGTATTCCCAGTGGAAGAGCAGGAGGAGGGAGTGGACAACATGACCCCATAGGACTGACAGGATGCTGAGACTAAAGTCAGCACTGCACCACCAGGCTGAGGAAACAAGCCGTGGGCTTGAAGGGGTCATGCAGGAGCCTTGCCAGGCGTGGAGGCTGAATCTCAGAGGGCAGAGCAGGGCCAGGAAATAGAGTCTGTATCCCAGCATTGCTCCAGAGTCACTGGACCTTGAAGGTACCTGTTGCCTCTAGGTGGGTGGTGGAGATGCTCCAGGGGTGGTCTTGTGGTGTTGGGGTACCCTGCCTTGGTTGGCCATTCTAAGGCTGAGAGGGGTTCAGCATCTCCTCAGATATCCCTGTAGTACCTTTCTGGAACTTCAAGGATCCCTTCAGAGCTCCATTGCTTGCCATCAGCTAGTACACCCAACCTTGAAAGACTGGAAATGAGCATTGGCTGTTAGGGGATCACTGCTAACATTTGCTAGGTTATTTTTTGTGTATGTGATAACAGGAAGTCTGTAATTCATACTGGAGTATTTGTAGATGAAATGATACAACTGAGAATTGCCTTAAAATGTTCAAGGAGCCAGGTGTATCCTTGTATTAACAGCATTCTAGGGGCTGAGGCAGGAGACTAAGTTCAAGGCCATTCTGGCCTCCACATCAAGAGCCTGTCCCCAAAACCAAAGAAAGGGGATTACCCCCATCCCTCACCACTGCTACACTTATGGGTGTGGTAAGTGCTCAAGGAAGTCAGATCAACAGACTCTTCAGTTATTGCTGAGTGCACTAGAGCTGATTATGGTCCCTCTGTATTTGAAAATTTCCATTTAAAAAGTTCTAAGAGCTGGGTGGTGGTGGTGGAGCTCTGTGAATTTGGGGCCAGCCTGGTCTGCAGAGTGTGTTCCAGAACAGCCAGGTGTACACAAAGAAATGCTGTTTCAAAAAAACTAAAGAAGTAAATGAATAAACAATAAATAGTTCTAAGAAATGGTACTTCTTGCTATCAACTAGGTATCATTGGGAATTATGTGAAAATAGGTGCTTTCAGAACTTTTTAAAACATGGCCTTTGAGGCAGAAGTTAAGCGTGAATATAAAGAATTTGACCTTGTCTTTCAGATCCAGTATAGTCAGCTTGAAAAAGAGATTCAGTCTTCTACAGAAGAAAAAGAACTCTTCTATAACAGAGGGGGTATAAGGGCAAGTTTGGTTCCTGTTTGGAAATCTTTGGCTCCTCAAGGTTAGTGGGAGAGCACTGCCATGGTCCTCAGGGCTCCCAGCAATTCCTGTGCGGCCAGCCAGCTTCAACCCCACTGTACCTGGGGTTTTGAGGCTAACTGAAAGAAGAGCAACACCCAGGACTGCTGAAGGAACAGTAGATGAAGTGAGAATCAGCCTGGGAAAGGACAGTGTGAACCTGTGAATAAACTTGTCTGAAGTTGAGTACTTGAAAAAATAGTCAAAAGGTAGACCTGGTCTGGGATACAAACACTACATAGATAGCCTCAGGAAGACACAAAGCTCTGGTGAACTCATTAAGGCTTCTAGTCCCTAAAGTAATCCTGTTTCCCTTCTTATTTCATCTGATCCCACACTGCAAGCATTCTGTCTGCTTCCCAGGTTCCAGATTGACAGGACCCTGACACTTCTGTTTCTTTAATAATCAAGGACCCTTGCCAGCAACAGCTTCCTTTACAACATCAGTCTAGGTCTATACAAGGTCAGCTTTCTCAGGGATAACCATTTCCCTTCTTCTGGGCCTTGCTCTGTAGCCACTGGAAGACGGCACATCTCCTTCTATGCAGGCTACTCTCAAGAGCATTGATACTGCCAGTCACTTGCCTCATCAAAAAAGCAATACATCTTTCCTAACCAGACTTCCTCCATATTTCACTCTCCCTCCGTCCCTCCATCCCTCTCTTCTGATTCTTCCTCCTTTCTTCCCCTCCTCTTCTTCAAGATGGTTTCTCTGTGTAGCCCTGGCTGTCCTGGAACTCACAGTAGACTGGGCTAACCTCAAACTCAGACCACCTTACCCAGACTTTCTAAGTGCTGTTGGCCCAGTCTACATTCTGCTGAGATGGCTCTCACCCAAACTCCATCCAAGGCTGGACTGCCATTCTGCCAGCCCCTCAGACCCCCAAAAGTTGCTCCAAAAGTACTTGGCTATTAGATGCTCCATAGAACTCATCCATGCTTTAGTTCAGCTCCCTACCAGTCTTGGAGAATGGTGTCATCATTTACCCAGCTGTGTCTGACAAATGCCGCTCACCCCAGAAGGGCATAATTTCATGTGTTAAAAACCCAAGGCTTTAGGTGCAGCCTCAGTTCAGTGCAATAGCACCCCCTGTTGGCATTGCCTTGTGGCTTTTTGGCTTGCTCTGGCTGCTCTAAGAACCTTCCTGCTTGTGTTTGAAGACCAAAATCTAATCCCAAACACCCTTGGAAAGCCTCTCTTACTCATCTCTTGCCATTCTCTTCTTTTGATCTGCAGGTGCCCCACATGTGGGCTTTTCTGGTCTTTTACAGAAGCTGTGGTGGCCTTGAGAGCTCACAGTACTGAGCAAGGTACCTCTTCCACAGGCTCCCATAGTTCCGTTTCTCTTATCAGATCTGGTCCTGGCCACACTACTACAAGAACTGTTGACTGGTCCTATTTCCTAGCAGACTGTCATTAGAGAACATACACACATTTGGTTACTGCAGTGATGTTTCCACACTAAACTCACTTGTGTCTATGCTTTTTCAGGTTCCCTGTCTGCAGGACAATTATTCCAAAATTGGGTTTTAAAAAAGTATCACAGCAGCCCCAAAAGACCTACCGCATGTCTCAGTGGCACAGAACTAAAGGTAGAGAACCATAGGCTAGAGAAGTGGTTCAGCATTTAAGTGTGCTTGACGCTCTTTCATGAGTTCTGTTCCCAGCCCCATGTGGCTGCTGTGACTCCAGCTCTAGGAAGATCCAACACCCTCTTCTGACACCCCCACATATGGCATACACACAAACATATATACAAATAAATAAACATCTTTTGTGGGTGGTTTTCGAGACAGAGTTTCTTTGTGTAGCTTTGGAGCCTGTCCTGGATCTCACTCTGTAAACAAGGCTGGCCTTGAACTCACAGAGATCTGCCTGCCTCTGCCTCCCAAGTGCTGGGATTAAAGGCGTCTGCCACCACAGCCCGGCTAAACATCTTTTTTTTGTGTGTGGGAAAAGCTCAGGATAAGTAGGAGGGTTAAAAAAAAAAAAAAAAAAGAGGTAGTCAAGTGTAGTAACCACATCTACAATTCAAGCACCCAAGAGGCAGAGGCAGGCAGATCTCTGAGTTTGAGGCCAGCCTGGCCTATGTAGCAAGTTCAAGGCCAGCCAGAACTACATAGTGAGACCCTGTCTCAAAAAATAAATAAAAGGTAGGAACTAGAGAGATTTCTCAGCAGAGAAACACTTATTCTTGCAGAGGACCCAGGTCTGGCTCACAACATCTGTAATTCCAGCCCTAGGAAAGCCAATGCCTCTGACCACCATGAGCACTAGGTAGTCAAGTGGTGCATGAACATATATGTAGGCAAAAGTCATACACATAAATTAAAACACAAAAATACTACAAGATGGGCAAAATCTCCAGGTGGAAGACTTCCTCACTACTACTTAAAACTTGATGAAAATGTTTCTATTGCATCATAATTTTGTAATTCATACAGTATTGCAAGAAAAGGGAGAAAATGACAAAGACACCAGCAGTTCTGTTCATAAAGTGCAAATTTAATCTTCAATTGTCAGCTCCAGTAAACAACTTATTTCAGGTCCTCTCTGTTCCCACCCAAGGACAAGAGGGAAAGGCCATTTTTTATTTTTACTTAAATGTCTAACAATAAGGTTTTAAGAAGACCCAACTTTTTTGGTTTTTGAGACAGGGTTTCTCTGTGTAACAGGCCTAGCTGTCCTGGAATTCACTTTGTAAACCAGGCTGGCCTCCAACTCACAAAGATCTTTCTGCCTCTGCCTCCTAAGTGCTGGGATTAAAGGTGTGCACCACCACACCCAGCAGAAAGATCCAGTAGACATGTTTCCTGATAAGGTTTGAAGGTTCTTCAACTGTAGTGAAGGAAAGCGGCCTTTCATAATTAACATGAATAGACATAGGAATGCTTGATTTAGACATTTGTGCTTATTTGGCAATTTTAAAGTCTCAAATTAAGAAGGTCCAATAGGCTGGGCACTGGTGGAGCACGCTTTTAATCCCAGCACTCAAGAGGCAGAGGAAGACGGATCTCTGAGTTTGAGGCCAGCCTGGTCTACAGAGTAAGTTCCAGGACAGCCAGTGCTACACAGAGAAACCGTGTGTGTGTGTGGGGGGGGGGACAACCAAAAACCCAAACCCCAAAACAAAACAAAACAAAAAAAAGAAGGTCCAATAACAGTGTCCTTTATGATGTGGCCAGATTACTTTTACTGCAGTCACCTGAAGACAGTGTCTAGTCTGGCCTCTGCAATTTGATTCTGATATTCCTTTACCAATATATGAAAGAATATTGGGCTGGGGGTTTAGCTTGGTGGGAAAGCATTTGCCTGGCATATGCAAGGCCCCAGGTTCTAGCTCCAGCACTGCAAACAAGAACAAAGGGTTGTCTCTTACATTTAAAAGGCTCCTGTTACAGGGACTGGCTTCTTTCCCAAAGGCACTGCCAGCAGCAGTTAGTCCAAGAGTACCAATGGCTGATGTTTTGCTGAATGCTTACATCTAAGTGTTACTGGAACTGTCTACTCAGTACAAAATCTATGAAAAACCTGTATAATACAGACAAAATTTTCAAAGGCCCCAAAACATTTTCTATTACAAGAAAGTACAACTGCAATATCTCTTGAATGATATTCTAGATAATTCTGCAGAAAACACAGCAGTTTGGCTCAGAAAGTAAAATCTCCCATGAGGAATTCAAGTTTTTTCCTAGAAGAATAAAAAGCAAACTGTGAGGCAGCTTTCTGAAAATAAACCGTTAAACGTATGGCTACAGTGAGACAAACAATGAAGGCTCGCATGTGCTAATCTGTGTGCGACTCTTAAACTCTGGGACAGCATATGGCTCCTACCATTAGGACAGCAGTTAAAACACTATCCAGCACTGGATCAAATTGGCAATTGTTTTTATGTTTCTCAGGTCAGATCTCAATACTTGGAAATAAACCATTAAAAATAGAACATTTCCTCTGTAATTCCAATACTATATAATGCCACCGGGTACTCGGAATGAAAGGGAAGTTCTGTGGGGCTTGCTGTGGACAGTCATATCTTCAGCATTTGTTCAGCTGCTGCTAGATGGTAAAGGAAGTTCTCTGTTGCAGGTGGGAATCGCTTTTGCTTCAGTGCCTCAACACTGAGGACAATCTTTCCCCCATCATCTGACACTTCTGAAAATGGTGCTAGATTGGTGAAGATTTCCTTTGTTTTTAGGGCAATGTCCTTTAATAGAACAGAAAAATACACAGTATGTTAGTATCTAAAAATGTGAAGTTATTTCCTAGAATCCTATTTCTGTTATCAGACTGACTTCATAAATCACCCCCCACCCTCTAGACAGGGTTTCTCTGGCTGTTCTGGAACTCACTTTATAGACCAAGCTGGCCTTTAACTCAAGACATTTACCTGCCTCTACCTCCCAAGATCTGGGATTAAAGTTATCTACCACTATGCTCAGCTCTCAAATTCTTAAAACAAAATAACTTAGGAAATCAATGTCACAGAGGTGTTTATAGTCATTTTAAGTCATTTTTAAGCATATAATGCATTGATACTAAGAATAGTCACAGCCAGACGGTGGTGGTGGTGGTGGTGGTGGTGGTGGTGGTGGTGGTGGTGGTGCATGCCTTTAATCCCAGCACTAAGGAGGCAGAAGCAGGTGGATCTCTGTGAGTTCGAGGGCAGCCTAGTGTATAAATCGAGTTCCAGGACAGGCTCCAAAGCTACAGAGAAACCCTGTCTTGAAAAACCAAAGGAAAAAAAAGTCACTGTGGAGGCCTGGTATGGTAGAGCTTGACTTCAATCCTAGTAGGATGCAGAGGCAGGTGGATCTCTGTGAGTTCAAGACCAATCTGGTCTACACAGTGAGTTAAGCACAGTATTGCATACTTTTAATCCTAGCACTCAGGAGGCAGAGACATGTGGTTGATATACTGTGCACCCCAATAAAGGTTATCTGAGGATCAGAGGAAAAAGCCAGCCACTATATTAAATATAGGTCAAGCAGTGGTAACACAAGTCTTTAATCCTTGCATTCAGGAGGCAGAGATTCATCCGGATGCCTGTGAGTTCAAGGCCACACTGGGAACAGAGCCAGACGTGGTGGCACAAGTCTTTAATCCCAGATTCCAGCACTAGTTAACCATAGAGGTCTGGAGGTCTGTACAGACAGACAGGAAGTGATACAACTGGGCAGAAAGAGGAAGTGATGTAGCTGGGCGGAGAGAGGAAATAAGATGGCACAGCACAAAAAAGTATATAGGCATTGAATATACAGGAAGTAGCTCTCTCTGGAGGCTGAGGAGTTGGTAAGGTGAGGTTGGCTGTGGCTTATTATACCCCTCTGATCTCTCAGTAAGTTTTATTGGGGTGTACAAATAAAATATCACCATAGAGACAGGCAGATCCCTGAGTTTGAGGACAGCCAGGACTACTTAGAGAAACCCTGTTTTAAAAAAAAAGAGAGACACCACAGGCCCTCCAGGTAAAAGCTAACTGCCAAGCCTAACAATTTGAGTTTAATCCCTAAGACTCACATGGTGGAAGGAGAGAACCAACTTTCTAAAAGTTGTCCTCTGATTTCCATGCATGCAGTGATAACACACACACACACACACACACACACAAACATAATAATAATAAAAAAGAACGGTCACCACAAGAAGCATGGGCAAGATGGTTCAGTGAGTAAAAGTGACTGCTGTGAAAACCTGATCATCTTAGTTCAATCCCTAGGTCCTACAGTGGAAGCACCAACTCTAGGTTGTATGTAAATACACATACACACAATAATTCAAAAGAAAAAAGTAGAGTTACCATGTTGTATTGTATCTAGAAGGTTTTTACCATGCCAAATAGGCACTGTGTACCCAGGAACAGTCAACTCCTTTCTTCCCTGTAGAACCCTGGTGACCTATAATCTACTTCTCAATGAATTCACCTACTTTGATACATTATCTAAGTAGGATCGTGTATCTGCCATTTTATGATTGGCTTATTTCATACAACATGTCACCATGCCCTGAGGGTTTACTCTTGGTTATTAGATTCTCCTTTTCTAAGGCTGAATAATAAAACATTCTGTTGTATGTGCCCACTACATTTTGTTTTACCCACTCTTTCTGTTGATGGATAACCAGGTCACTTCTATCTTTTACTGAGTACACATAATGCTACTAGTGACAAAAGTCTGTTCAAGTCTCTGCCTTCAATTCCACTGAATATTCACCTAGAAGCAGAATTGCTGATTAAGAATCATTCTATGGGTACCATTCTTCAAATGAGTCTCTTTCCCAATTTGCACAGCAGAGTAACCTGGCACCTGCCACATGGGCTTTTTGCCTGTTCAGTAACTGGCACTCCTGAGGGGCAGGTAACTCACTGGAACTCACATTAAAGTCATGTCTTTTACCTGTTTGGCTGACATCATAAATGCATTCAAGTATTTTGAACATTTATCACTTAATTTCCCAAGATCTCATATATTATGTGGAATTATCTATGTATCACTTCTAATCCATGACAAATCATCCAAATAATCCATAACTGTAATTTCTGTATTTGACCAACATCATTAGGGATGGCTACTGCCATTGCTCTTTGTTGCCCACTGTAACGAGATGTTATGACCCTATTGCTGATGACCATATACTTACAAACAGTAAGTATATGGTGTCAGTTGAAACTAATCAAGAAATTTCCTCCCTACTTGCTAGTTTTCATAGTGCCAGAATGTGCTAAATATATAAGTTGCTGAGGAAGAAAAGACAACAATGGTCTTACCTCATATTATACCCTGTATACTATAAAAGTGACCTATAAGGCAAGATGTGCTCACAGCTGGCGCAATAATGACAGGACTATTATAGAGTAACAATCATCCACTTTCTGACTGGATTTGAGCCTGCTCTACAGGAGGAAATTCTTGATTGCTACTGTAAACCTGGTCAAAAGTCTATGACTTGGGGGTCGAAGGAAGAGGTGAGTTCATATTGGGGGGGGGGGGTTACATACTATTGCTGTTTTCTAAATGGTCATATCACCAAACTGCCTTCTAACTATTTATGGTTATATCCATAGACTTGTGCTGCTCTCAACCTTGGTCAGAGAGGCTCTTTTGTTGCAGTGAGTAGTGGTTAATGCAGAGACCCAAACTGGTCAAAGTGCTGAGAATAAGTGACTGAATGCTCAAACCTATGTAGGACAGCTATATCACCACCCCACAAGGCTCAGAGACCACCACAGAACCATGGAAGAGAGGGTGGAAAGAAGCTAAGAGCTGGATGATGGGAGGAGAGCTGTGAAACGCTGACATGGCTGTAGCATTCATGAACTCAGCTGTGATTAACTCTGCAAAACCTGTACAAGATCAAGTTATAAGTTATATATATATAAGTTATATGGTTAGGGAGAGGACAATGAAGCCCTACCCCAGCTCAGTTGATGGATGTTGGAGGAGGGGATAGTCAGTTTTCTTTGGTGTTGTAGTCACTGGTAGGTTATTCATGCTTCAGTGGATAGCCCCACACCCATGTGAATATGGGCAGCACTAATTGAACTCAGTGTGTGTGTTGGGGGGTAGGAATGGGGTGAAGAGATGACGTGTTGCTCTTTCAGAGGATCCAGGTTCAGTTCCCAGCACCCACACAGTGGCTCACAACCATCTGTAATTGTAGGGGATCCAAAATCCTCTTCTGACCTCTGTGTGTAATATAGTGCACAGATATACATGCAGGCAAAACACCAATACACACACACACACACACACACACACACACAAAATACACATGACAGATAAACAGACAGAAAGGAAGGACGGAAGGAGGGAAGGAAGGAAGGAAGGAAGGAAGGAAGGAAGGAAGGAAGGAAGGAAGGAAGGAAGAAAAAAAAGAAAGAAAGAAAAAAAAGAAAGAAAGAAAAAAAGAAAGTAAGTTAGTTAATTGGGAGGGAATCTATTGGAGAGATCCAGAAGTAGGGAGTAGATATCTACCAAAGTAAAAAGTACACTGTATACAAGTGTGAAATTCTCAAAGAATAAATTTAAAGTGATACTAAAAAAAAAATGAGTGTTTCTGCTCTAATGTTGATGGGAGGCAACAGCCAGCTCACAGTCTTAGGAGGGACCCACCCACTTTTCCTGGGCATGCTGCACAGGCCACCAGCACTGCCGAGAGAGAATAGTGCTGTCAGCCAACCCTGCCAAGCCTGCTGCCCCTGGCATCTGCTAACAGGTCAACAGCTCCTCAAAGACCTATTATGAAAAGCTTGAATGAACTCTTAAGAGTTCAAAAGTAGAGACTTGATTCCAAAGTTACTGTTTCACCATTTTTTCCTCCATGAAAATTCTTGTAGCAGGATGAAATGCACTGGTGGCCCTCACAGGCATTCCAGCCCACTCACTGGTTACAATTCTCACCACTGGGATTGGCTTTAGTACCAGCCCCTGTAATGACCTGTCCCAAGCCCCCCATTCCCATCCACCATTATCTTGGCCAGTGCAAAACCTATTATTGCCAGTTAGCCTGTCCCCTGACACTTCACTCTGCTACCATGCTCTGAGAGAGTGCACAGTGAGGCTGCTACAGGATGCTTCATAAGGCAGACCAAGGGTTACCTGTATAACCTGGCTGTCTGACTTCTCTGGGTCTTCTGCAGACTGCACAATTAGCTGACCAATTTCTTTATGCAATTTGCCCATCGTCATGGCCTCTGATGAAAGCAGAAAGAATGTTGTTATGAAGACTTAGAATTTTACACAATAAAAAATAATCAAGCCGGGCAGTGGTGGCACACGCCTTTAATCCCAGCACTCAGGAGGCAGAGTCAGGCGGATCTCTGTGAGTTCGAGGCCAGCCTGGTCTCCAAAGCGAGTTCCAGGAAAGGCGCAAAGCTACACAGAGAAACCCTGTCTCGAAAAACCAAAAAAAAAAAAAAAAAAAAAAAATCAAGCCATCCAACTGAAAATCTCAAAGACCACATTAAAGGACTTTTCAAAAGGCAACAGATAACCCTCCAAGCTTCCATTTTATTCCCAACATAAATGTAACAGCATATTGGAAGTATTATCACCAATGCCAAACCAGATTTCCCCTTCATATCTGTCTGATAAACTGAATGAAAAACACTGATTACAAGTGAGCAAAAGCCTGACCAAGTCTTTACAGTTAAGAATCTAAGTGGTGCTGGGCGTTGATGGCCCATGCCTTTAATCCCAGCACTCAGGAGGCAGAGCCAGGTGAATCTCTTTGAGTTGCATGCCAGCCTGGTCTACAAAGTGGGTTCTAGTACAGCCTGGACTATGAAGAGATACTGTCTCAAAAAATTGGGGGGGTGGCGTGGCGAGGGGGAAGAATTTAAGTGCATTTTTCTGGCAGGAAGGTTGTGAAAGAAGAGCTTCCGGCCAGGCCCTTGGGTGCCAGAAGAGCACACAGCATGTTCGTGTCCTTGGAAATATGCAAAGGAAACCTCTTTGGTCACACGAATTACAGATGCTGTGAGACAGAAAGTTCTGTGTGTCACTGTAAAGGACACACACTATTTAGATGGTGCCAGTTGGAATAAGTGTGTTCTATAAATCAGAACAGAAAGTAGGCAATTGCTGTGGATTATGCTCATTGTTAATAATAAAGCTGATTGGCTGATAGCTGGGCAGGAAGGTATTGAGCATGAGAGCCAAACTAGGAAAATTCTAGGAAGAGGAAGGATGGAGTCAGGAGTAGCCAGCCAGAGGCAGAGGAAGCAAGATGAGAATGCCGCACTGAGAAAAGGTACCAAGCCACGTGGCTAAACACAGATAAGAATTATGGGTTAATTTAAGTGTAAGAGCTAATCAGTAATAATCCTGAGCTACCGGCCGAGCATATTAAGCCTCTGAGTCAAAATATTTGGGAAATGGCTGCTGGCTATTTGGGAGCTGCTGGGTGGGACAGAAACTTCTGCCTACAAACAGTGCCATCCTTTCTGGCTCTGGCCATGGCCATATTTGTATAATTTTAGCCTTGTAAGAGGTAATATTTTCCTAAGGTCTGTTTCCACTTTCATCTTTCCACATGAACATGGTCATGTTTGAAATTTTAAAGCAAATGAAAAGAGAACAATTCTGGTTTTACTCATTTGAAGTTGCTAGACTCTAACACGGAGTCCTAACGGCCAGCATTCAGCTGCTCCCACATTTGGGAACTGTTGAGAGATCACACAGAAGCTATGAGCAGCAATCCCACCTGCCTAACACATGTAGGACATAAACTGTACACTCTGGACACTGAGAAATCCCTCCAGCTCCAGCAGATGCCAAGCAAGTTACCAAATACTGTCTTTAAGAAGTCAGCCCAAGCCGGGCGGTGGTGGCACACACCTTTAATCCCAGCACTCTGG